CACAGACTCTTTGACACGTTTCACGACATTTACACGTTAATACTCCGACACACAGACTCGTCCACGCTCAGAGAAACATGAACACGTCTCCACAAACATCGTTTCCTGCGTGTTGGTACGATCACGAAGATGTTTCACGTCTTTCAAACAAAAAGCAGCAGCAAAGCAAAAACGTCCATTTTTGGATGAACATTCTCAGTGTAGCACCAGACAGAGTCCAGAAAAGAAAACACGAGTTCAGTTATGGATCAAAAACAAATAAATCGAGCATATGAAACAAACACAGGTAGAAAGATCCAGAAAGGCACTTAAGTGTGACGATGTCCAACCACAGATGCAGTGAAGGCGCCGACATGAAACGTGACCGTGAGACTTTTTGTTTTTCAGACAAACTTCACAAAGTTTCTGTAAATATGAAACTGCATTCGATTGTTTTTATTATAAAGCAGTTTAACGTTTCTGTTTTCTGCATAAAGAAATCTTCGTTTGACCAGAACGCCGCTCGAATCGGCTCGTTTCAACAACACGTAACAAGATGCTGATTTCATCAAAACCAAACAGAAACCAGAGCAATGTACCAGGATGACCTTTGACCCCTCCTGTGGTGATTTCATTTTGTTTCTCGTAGTTTTTGTTTTGCACAGGTCGGTGTTTCATTTTTATATAAACAAAGACTTTTGTGTTTTACTTGAAGATAAAAATCCACCTCAAGGAAAAGAAAACAGAGCGATGTAATAAATCTTTTCTTTTAATTTTATTTAACGACATTTAATTTCGTTTGCTGTGCCGTTTGTGTCTTTGCGTTTATTCCTCCTAATTTAACTTTAACGTCTCTTTGTATAGTTTCTGTTTTCTTTGAAACTTTGACAGATGCGTGTGAATTTTATCGTAAATGACTCATTGCCAAAATAACCCCTGAATGTAACCGAGTATCTTCAGGTTTGCGTCTGAAGATGTTAGAGAAATAGTTCTTGTGTGGCACTTGTGGGCCTCCGTACACTCGTTTGAAGCTGTTTTAATAAGCGCGGCTCAGTTCGAGCTGCCTTAAACTCTGATTTCTGCTCAGTTTTGTGGAAGCAGCAGCTTTGAGCCGACTGGAATGTCTTAAATGTTCAAACTTAATTCATCTCCACCACAGCGACGACCCAACGCAAGGCCTTATGGGTAACAGCAGGTGGCAGAAACCGTCCAACAAGGTCATCCTGTGGGTTTTGGTCAGATACCAGCTGATGGATCCTCTGAGTCATGTGATCCATCAGGAAGGTTCCCACTGAGCCCTGCAGGGGGCACACTGACGTGCAAATCTGAGCATGTGGTTGACCAAAGTGAGGGAGGAGTCTGTCGTTTGATTGGTTTACAGCTGTGCGCTCCCTCACCTTATGAACCTGTTTGCACAAATTTTAATGTTTTTTTCACCATGTGACCAAAAAAGAAAACGACAAACATGTAAACATCAGCTGATAGAGTCCGCGGGTTCCCCCGAGGCTTTGTGTTCATGTCCATGCATCCGTCCGTCGTGGAGGGTTAGTCGCAGTCTGGCCCACGTGGCGTTGGAGGCTCGGGCTGGTTGTGGGTTGTGGTCCGTTTAAGGCGCTGTGGATCCGAGTGTTTACAGACATTTCCACACAAACACACTGAAACACACAAACAGGCATTCAAGGAACTTTGTGTTGTCAACTTCTGCA